AATAATTGCTACTAATCATCATTAAACAAGTTATTATGTAATATCATTAATGTATTATCACCTATAGGCACTTCTGTTTCCTTTTCTTCTTCAAAAGTCTCTTTTTTCAAGATTCCTGAAATTTTTTCTCTCAATATCTCCTACATATTATGTATAATAAAACCTTCTTTTTTCTCGAAAAAATCCTAATAAAATATAAATTCAATTAGATTTCAAATTATATAAATTTAATTTTAAATAATAAATAATATACCTTAAATTTCTGATATCATCACTCTAGAGTTTTTTTACACTCTATATCAGAGTAGTTAGAATTTAATATTATATTATATATTACTGATATATAAATATATATATTTTGAAATATCTCATTAGTATCAGATAATAAGAAAAATGTGAGTTTTATTATATTTTTGATTATATTATCATCATCATATACTTATTATAATACTCTTTAACTTGTAATGAATTTTCCAAATCGCTATATCTTGGCAGCTTTTTTGTCTATTACTACTACTTATTGATTGTAGACTAAATTCTTTAAAAATTGCAATTTTCACTGCAGTGACGTTTACTTCTCTCATGTCTTTCATTTTACGTATAAGCTATAAATAAATATAAAAATTTATAATATTAATTGAAAAATTCAAATTAAATATAATAATTATTAATGATTATTAAACAATTATTAAAATTTTAAATTAAATATAATGATTAGTTATTAATGATAAATATCATAAAATGATGATATCCTGAAAATTTGTTCATTTATTCTCTGTAGTTCATTTCACAAAGATAATTAAGATGATATTGATTTAGTCAATTTTTGAGCTCTACCTTAAAATCTTCAAAGACTGGCTATATATTATCTGAAAAGAATTTATTGCAAACTGAGATATAACTTTCCTATAGTGTATAACAAAAAATTGTAATTATATTAATTATGTTGTAATTTGACGATAGTATAAGAAAGAATAATATCAGGTTTTATTAGGAATTTTTTACTTATATTGAAGAACTTTTTACTTAAGTTAATTTTTTTTTTTTCTCATTTGTAACTTAATTTGATTCTGAATCTATATGACTTTCTAGAGCGTCTTTTTATATAATTTATATAAGGTATAAATTTGCTTACTTTATTTTATATGTATATTTTTGCAATATTTTCTACCTTCAGAAAGTTGAACATTAATCTCTGGTATTATTGTTACAATTAATGAACTTCTTCTATATTTAACAGCTAATATAGTTAATTGACTGTATTATATATTATCTACAAATAGCTTAAAAAGTCCAGAATGTTGTTCATCATTAGTTGACACTAATATATTATTATTACCTATTCAGTAAATTTTATTAAATATAAAATGTAATGTTAATAATTATCAAGTCTAGAAATTATCACCTACTTTGCTTTAATTGTTTGTCATATAGTTTAATATGCTTCTTTTAGCTGTTATTTAAAAATAAATAATCAATTATGTAAAGATTTTTAATATATAATATAAATAATAATATATGAGTTATTGCTTTTAGCTAGTATTATAGTTTGTGAAAATTCTGCTATTACTTTTATTTCTTATTGATTATTATCCAATTCTTGGTTATTAGTATTATCTGATTCTTTGAAAGATTCTTTAGCTTATGAAGTATATTTTTACTTTTTAGACTTACTTAAATCTTCTTGTTTGTTATTTAATTCATTATTCGATTCTTGAAACTGTTTATCTCTATTAGATCTAGTAAGATATTTTCATATCTTTGGTATTTTTAAAAAGGTCTGAAACAAATTAGTAAAAAAGATATAAAAGATTATACTAAATTTTTCTTCGCTTTTCTTAAATCTAAAATTGAAAAAAAAGTAGAGAAAAAGTATGAAGTTTTTGAATGAAAAAAGGATAGAAGAAAATTTTAATGAAGTTAGAGACAAAAAAAGTTTAAATATAAGGTTAGAAAAGTATTTTATATATAAACTTTTCTAAAGTTTGATAAACTACTTGGATCAGTAAAATTTTAATACAATATATAATTAATTATAATATACTAGATAACAAAGATCATTATAAGTCTGAAACTCTATAATTACTACTTTAGATAGTACAAAGATTATTCTGGTTGCACTAGTATGACACACTTGAGAGAGTAAAAATAAAACATTAAATTAGGTACATTAAAGGTAAAGATAATAAAAAAGAAAAAAGAAATTAAAAAATCATATAAAAATTTTTTATGATTTGACTAACAACTTACTGAAATATATCTATATTAATAATACTACTCACATAGAAAATTAAGACCTGTGATATATCTTTATAATATGAAAATAAAAATGAAATAATGATAATTAATGAATGAATCCTATATATCATCTAAATCTCTTGAATTATCTATTACAGATCTATAAACAAATAGGTAAAATAAAAAAATATTAAAGAAAATTGTTTAGTATCAATATAATAATAAAAGTCGTATCTACTTACTTATAATATAGCTCATTACAATTAATTATATATTAAATAATAGGTATAACTATTTTTGTTTCTTTTAAAATAACAGTTATAACCCTTTCCTTATATGAATAAAAATCTTCTAATAATAATTTTTTTAAAGATTTTCTTTCATTGGCATAATTTATCAGAACTTTTAATAAATCTTTATTTATAATTTCTGGTTTATATATAGCTAAAATCTAAAATAAGACTGGACATACTTTTAAAAGAAATTCAAAAGTATAAAAGAGATTTTGAAAATAATTTTGCGAATTAATATAAATTCTCAATTGTAGCAAAAGAAAATTCTGCTGAATATATGTAAATAGAAAAATGTTAAAAATAAAGTATTGATATTAATAAATCAGATACTGAAATAGGGATTTTCTGATATTGCTAATGATAATGATAAATGTATTAGATTAGGATATTTTTGTCTAATAATCTTGACAAGCTCAGATGTAATATGGACATATGATAATATCTTCAGATTTATATTTGCTATTTGTAAGATTACTCCTATAAGCGCTGATATATCCACCCAGTATTTAATACGTTATTGCAAATTATGAATTTTTATAGTATATCTAATAATGTTATCATTTGAGCAAAATGGTTTTTAATTTGTATTACTGTGATATCTAATAAGATCTCAGTTATTATATTTAACTAAACAGGAATATATAAGTACAAATTTTATATAATAAGAAGTAGAAACATGAGCTTATCTGTATTAAAAATCTGCATTTTACATAGATTATCTTTTTTTTAAGAGTTCATAAAGGCCTTAGGAATATTTATTGACAGATTATATCATATGTTACTCTTGCAAAAATTTATAATTAAAGCAATATTAGTTTGTGATCTTAGTAATCTTTTATTAAAAGTTCATTCTAAGGTATTTTTTAAGAGAAAAATAAGTAAAATATTTTTCAGTATTAAAGATTGGAATAGTAAATACAATGAAGGTATTATTAATAATATTTTTTGATGTATCTAATAGTCCATTAACATTTATCTTTATTTTTTCCTTTGTTATTATTTGTAAAAGTATTTTCTAAGAGAAAATTAACTTTTATAATAGTTTTAACAATTATAATAGTTACTGTAATAGTTAAGGTAACTTTAGGTTCTTCTATTTAAGTAATATTTTGTTTTTATTTGAATTTTTAGTTGAAGAAAGTGATGCAAAATGATCACAGTATTTTTGATTTATTTTGATTATGTTAAAAATAAAAAAAGAGTTTTTTTTATTCTATCTCTTTTTACTTAGATTTATTTTAGGTTTATAATAATTAAATACTATGAATTTATAATAGCAATTATTTTATTATATTAATACCATATGAAGTCAATCCTACTGCACTACAAAGATTGATGAATAATCAATATTATTAATATCATTAGCATTTTTAACTTAGTTAACATTTTTATTTTATTTATTTTATTCTTATATTTTATTATATTATCTATTATTTTAGTATTATTATTAAGTTGTAATTTATCTTTTATATTTATCTTATCATTATAAAATAGTTTAGTATTAGATAGTAAATTCTTATAATTGTATTTTTATATAAATAGGATAGAAATTTGTCTTTGTAAAAGAGCAGAGATAACAGTGTAAACTCAATAGTTCAATATCAGGAAAATTTTTCAGGAGATATATACTGATAAAAAGATCACGTGACATAAATCGATAATAATCACAAACGTCAATTTGTATCAATGTGAATAAATAGTGATTAATTATTAACTTCTAACCTAAAAGATAAATATTGATAATAAATAATCTTAATAATAAATATCAAAAAATACTTATACGATTAATATTGATAGTAATTTCAATGGTATAATATTAATAACAATTTAGTGGTAATTTATTGATATTAATTTAAATGATAAATATTGAAACTTAATTTAATCGCAAATATTCATATTTATTATTAATATTAGATAATACAATTAATTGTTATTAATAAAAAATTTTATCTAATAATTAAAAGAGACTAAAAACAGCTAAAAACTAAAGATAATCTAAACTTATATTCTTGACAAAGTAACAAGTACTTGAGTATTAAGATAATCAAGCTTTAAAGACAATTTGAAAATTAGAGATAAGTCTAACAGATATTCGTTTTAATCTAAAAATTTAGTAAAGTAATTAATATTAATCATAATTTAACGAATTAATTAATTACTAATAAAAATTGTAAGAAATTAACAAAAAATCAAAATAATTACCATAAAATAATTCATTATAATTTGGTTCATCTTCACCCTTCTCTTCCTCTTCTTCTTATTTTTTTTCTATACTTTTTTTCTTACTACCCTTCGCCATAAGTTCTGACGATTCTTCTTGTAATATTTTTAAAGAATCAACAAGTTCAATAGATCTATTTGTCATAAAAGATTTCTAAATATTAGTTTACTATAGATTAAAATCGATAAATTGCAGTTTGATAAATTAAATTCTTTTAATTAACAAGATATTTTGAATCCTTGAAATTGTCATTCTAGAGGTTTTTTCGCACACTCAAGCTCTGGATATTCTGGGTTCAAGACTATATTACAGATAGCTGTCGTGTATGTATATATATCATTAAATGATTCATCGTCTTCAGAAATATTAGAAAACGCGTATTTAGCAATATTTTCTATCGAATTATTATTATTATCATATAATCTATTGTAGCATTTCCTGACTTTATTCGATTTCTTCCATTCTATAATACTATTTGCATTTCTTTTGCTAATTATTACTTGCAATCTGAATTCTTTAAAAACTGAGTTTCAGACTGCAGCAGCGTATATCCCTCTTATATCCTTCATTTTCTTTAAGAGCTATAATGAAAATAAAAATAAAATATTTAAATAATTTTAAAGTAATCAAATTTTGATAAATAATGATAATTACCATACTATGGTGCTTACCACAAAATTGGTTAATTCATTCTTGCTCACCTACTTCACTTATATAAGATGAATGATTGGCTTTAAGCCAATTTTTAAGATTGGTTTTAAATTCTTCGAGAGTAGGCCACATTGTTTCTGAAAAAAGTCTATTACATACCGTTGAAACTGGCAAAAACTGACAGGACAGACAAATCTGCCAAATCTGCCATATCTGTCAAAAAGAACATACTTAATATTTATTATATTTTTATTATTTGTATCATTATTATCATTTATAACATATTTTACATAATTAGCATA